GTGCAGTACAATGGAGTGCAGTGTATAACCATTCAGGCGATGAGAGCGGAAGAAGAGTATCTCCAGCGGCGGCTAGTTGTGGACAACCCTGATGGAGCAGCAGCAGCAGCAGTTCCACCCGCGGAGTGATCTGCATACTACTTGTGACGGTCTCTTTAGCTGTGGCCCTCACCTTATCACTGTTATTCTATCAGAATGGCTCGGGATGACTTTTAGTTCTCAATTAGGGGGTCTAATATTATGGTCCTATGGAACTTGGAAGTGGCTCAGGAGTACCTCATCTATGAGTACCTTACAGACGTGATATACATAAGACCAACTGATGGGAGGGGGAGGGAAGAGGCTTTCTCTTCATGCCTATCATGTGGACATTAATTGCCCCTATTGGTAGAGGAAACTGCCAAGTCTCTCACGGTGACGTCGTTGTATTCTGCACGCATGCACACCTTGTCGGGTCACAGGCAATGAAACTTCCTCAATTCAATTCAGGCAATTCTTCAGCATTATCATAACTTAGTAATCGGAACTCCCGGCTGCTTTAGTAGCACGCGTTACTGTATAGAGATCGGCTATGTCAACTGTCTTCATTGCAAGCCATGCTGGGCTGTATGCTCCTCCGTTCAATTTGGGCTGCCTTCGGACATCCCTCCTGTTGTTCGAGCTTAGTCATACAAGTCATCTCGATAGACAGACCTATCCTACCTTCATAATAATAGGAGCAAGGATAGATAGGCACCGCCATGCATTGCGATATATACTGTGAGAGTAGTAGTGTTCAGTTTGGTTTGATGACTGCTACGGCTAGACACTTTCTTACCCTGGTTGATATCAGCGTAGACCCACCCCATTGGCCTGCGCATCCCGTTGATTCACATTCCGAGTGTCTTAGGATTGTTCGATCTCTCAGGTTGAATCCATTGGATGCCCTCCTCGTCATCATCTTCGTATTGTTCGAGACCAGACATCAGATCCATCCTCTATGTCGCAGGATCTCTGGTAGCACCTCTCGCTGTTGGTATGGCCTTCGGGTTCACTGGTCCGGCTATTGATACTATGAGGAACTCCATGGAAGCACCTGATGGTCGTCACATCGATATTGGTTCGAATACGAATCTGCATGTATTCGCCAGCTCTACTGAGTCGGCTTTCTTTAGTGCAGCCGTGACCTTTGGGGCCGTGATAGGTTCTCTCGTTGGGGGTCCAACTACCGAACTTCTAGGACGTAGAATGGCCTTCCTACTAGCGGCCCCTACCAGTGCATGTGGGTATGTAATCGTTGGAGTTGGTAAAGCTCCGTGGCTATTGGTCTTAGGGAGGGCCCTCGAGGGTATCTCTATAGGTATATGCTCATTTAATGGTGCTGTGTACATTCAAGAGATGTCGCCAAGTGATCTGAGAGGTGCCTTTGGATCCTGTACTCAGCTTGTAACAATTGTTGGTATGATCGTCATATACGGTCTTGG